AGTTCGCGTATTGATTTTTTTGGGGGGGTACATGGGATCGAACTCAGAACCTTATACTTGCAAGGCAAGTGGCAGCGCCTCTAAGCTAAATCCCTGGCCCTGCATGATGATGTTTTGATCATCCACAGACCACATATGTGACAGGGTTCCCATAAGATTATACCACTTAGTGGCACCCTCTAGGATACCTGTATAAGGATGAAACCACCTGATGCATTCTCAGAATGTGCCTTTTCACTAACCAGTGCAAAACTGAATCCTCAGCTAGACAAAATTATAAACCTGCCTTGGAGCACTTCTTAATTTCTGCTGTCTTTCTAGTTTCATGTTTCCTCGCGAGCCATCTGAAAGTTATATATGTAGCCCTGTGCACAAACCCCTGAGTCATGTCCACCTGTGGCCTTGTGTCAGGATCTATGTTAAGTCACCATTTCAGAGTCTTGATATAATGCTTTATAGTGTGATTTCAGCCTGCAAGTATGTGGGAAATACCAGAGTCAAAGACCTGGGAAATAATAAACAAAATAAGTGTACAGGGGATGTAACTCAGTGGCACCATGCCTACCTTGAATGCACAAGGTCCTGAGTTCAATCCTCAGGTACGCCTCTCCCCAAAAGTGTACAAGGCAAAAAATAAAATAAATGACCCACACTGATGGCAACTAGCTGAATATTCACAAAGGAGGCAAGTATATTTTTATAGCAAAATTAAATAGGAACTAATGGCTTTTAGGCTCCGTATTCTCTAAACTTGCTAATATTCACAGTAAAAAGAAAAAGAAATTGTAGATATCCTCTGTCCTTTTACTCCAGATCTCTTAGGGGAATGAAGGACTGAGACCATCTTTATAGCTCTTTGCAAGATTGTTTTCAACATCCTAGAAAAAAGAATATTTGTTCTATTAAAATAAAAAATTTGCTGGGCACAGAAATTCAGTATCTTAGTAAACCCTAGTTTATCTCACAATCTAGAAATTCTTGTATCTGCTATGATTCCTTTCTACGTGGGCTTTTCTACTTGTTTTTAATGAATAGAACATACACATTGTAAAAAGTGTGAACTTGAGTGTAAAGTTCATATATATTTATTTATTTATTTATTTATTTTTAACAAATGTACATCAAGGTAACCACTGCTCAGTATCTTAGAAGCCTCTCACCTACACCCCCAGCTCTCAGGGATCACTGTCATTCCAACTTCTGTCAGCGCGGGGGCGGGGTAGTTAGTGTTGCCTATGTTTGAACTTCATATAAATGAGATCAAATAGTGCTGTTTTGTATTTGGCTGTTTTTCTGCACTACTGTGTCTATGAAGTTAATCTATATTGCTAGATGTAGTAGTTTATTTTTAACACTTACATAATGTCCTGTAGTTTGACTATAGCATGTTTGTATCCATCCTACTGTTGATGGCTATTTGGATTGTTTTCATTTTGGTTTGTATTTTTGTTTTTGGTACTGGGAATCAAACTTGGGTTTTTGTGCTTGCAAGGCAGGCGGCAGCACCACTGAGCTGAATCCCCGGCCCTGGATTGTTTTCATTTTGGAGCTATTATAAAGTTACTATGGTTTTGATTGCCGTGCCTTTGAATGAGCCTATGTCCTTATTTTTCTTGCATGGAAGTGGAATTTCTGTGTCTTAGGGTATGAGATGTTTAGCTCTAGTAGATACTCACCAAACATTTTCCAAAATGATAGTAATAATTCATACTCTCTTCAGTAGCAATTCAGTGTTGTGGTCACTGCTCTTCCTCAGCAGCAGTTTGTATTTTTAAACTGCTTAAATATATTTAGCTATCCTATTCGGTATATAAATGTGTCCCATTATAGTATTTTTTTGGTACCTGGGATCGAACTCTGGTCCTTGTACTTGTGAGGCAGGCAGTGGCACCACTGAGCTAAATCCCCAGCCCCCATTATAGTTTTAATTTGCATTTCCTTCTTGGTTAATGATGCTAAGCACCTTTTTTTTTTTTCAGTATAGTCAAGTTTGTGCTTAGTGTTTCTTATTGATTTATAGGAGTTATTCTGGGTCAGCCCTTTGTCAGGTGTATATATTTCATATATCTTCTCCCACTTTATGACTTGCCTTTTAACTTTCTTAATGGTGATTTTTAATGAGAGGTTTTTAATTTTAATAAAGTCAAATTTATTTTTTATTTTATGTCCTATTTAAGAAATCTTTGCCTACCATAAAGTCTCAAAGATAACTCTCCTTTGTTTTCTTCTAGAAGTTTTATTGTTTTACCCATTTGGAATAGATTTTTATATGGTATTGGAGGCCTAGTGCCATATGTTGAAAGAATTATCCTTTGTCACTCTACTCTGTAGGCACCTTTATCATAAAGAAGATGACAGTAAATCTGTTTCTTGACTTTCCATTCTGTTTCTATTCTAAAATTTCATGTAACCAGTTTTAATTATTATGGCTTTATACTATCAGTACTTAGTCCTCTAGCTTTGATCTTCAAAATTCTCTTGGCTATTCTTGGCCTTTTTCGTTGCTTCTATAGGTTTTTAGAACCAACTTGCCAATTTCTATACAAATGTACACCCAAACTGCCTAGGATTTGGGTAGATATTTTAAACTTCTAGAAAATTCTGGGAGAGGTAACATCATTCTCTGTCATTGGTACCTGATTTTTTCTCTTGTGCCTTTGGAGGGTAAAAAGCCATGCCCCTCTGCCTAGTTTGTGGCTGAATGAAGTCTAGGGATCCAGAATAAGACACAGTTTCTTACTGTTGTCTGATTTCCAAATGAGAGATGTGCTGTGTCTTCTCTCTACACCGCTGCATCTTTTCTATGCCCTTTCTGCCTTGCTTTGTGCCCCAGAGGGTGACTGGTTTGCACTACTGCAATGGGTTCCCTTGCTCCTGGTTCAGTCAGTGGGAAGGAATATGGACGGGGATTTTAAGGAGAGACGAGAATGTGGTCAGGGTATTTATTTCCTAGCTTCCTCCCTGCAGGGTCATTGTGTGCTGGCTGTGCCCTGGAGCAGAGACTGTTACAGCACCCACCCAGCAGCTGTTCTCTGCCAGGTCTCCCCCTTTGGGCCCCTGCCAGTCTGGCTTGCCCCCTCACTAGTGTAAGGGTACCACAACTTGTTATTTACCACCACCTTTTCATGCCTTTGTTAAACTCTTTCCGAACTCTTTCCATTTGGAGCAGATCATCTGTTTCCTGTCAGGACCCTGATTACTACAGAAGTAGAAGAAAAATAATTTTCTGGGCAGCTTTTAAAAGAACTTTGAGAATGAGTACCAGTTGTGCAAAGGGTCACCTTGCTGGTTCTAGTCACAAAATGTGCCTTTGGCTAGACCTGCCTGAATATAGCGGAGAGGCTCCATCTTTCTCCTTCTGGTGTTATTTGGAATCATCAAGGAACTCTTTGTAATTTAAAAATATCAAATTAGTCGTCTCAGAGTGTACTTTTGAACAACAATAAGCTCTTTAGCCATGAGTTGTTTTTCACTTTTCAACTTACTAAGTTGATAATGTTTGTGCTTGAATGCTGCAGTGTTTGTGCTTGAATCTGAGAGACATCCACAGAACTCCCTGAGGATGTTAGAAGGTGAGGTGAGAGTGTCAGACTGGAACAGACTTTAAACTAGTAATAAAATTGCTGCTATTTGAAAAATTAGAGTTGGCACACATTTGGGGACAGCAGCCTCAAGCTAATGTGAATGAGAGCGAATTATACTAATTCTTTAGTGAGTCTCACATTGAAGTTGTCACTCCTTTTTTGACAGTAGGTTATTTAGTTGTCTGCTTTAGGAATTAATTTTTGGAATGACATCTGTAGTGCTGGTGAGGATTGCTGAATTTCTTGCAGTAAAATAGAAATCATGTCCAGAATGTCATTTAATGATAACATTAACCCAGATCTGATCATCCTGGCAAATATGATAGACACTACAAGAACTGTTTGAATAGCAAATAAAACAAGATGTCACATGGAACTTTACTTTCTTAAGAAGTAAGTAATGGTAGAATTCTGCCGTGCTGAGTTTACTTTTTAATAGGATAAAGCTATTTATGTGTTAATTTCTGTGTGCATTCCAGGTGAATTGTGTCTTTGGTTTTCACTATCTCTTGGGGCAGCTTCCGATTTGCCCTTACCAGTTGCTCCCTTGCATTGCTGTCCAGCTTCCACCTATGTGTCATTAAAACCCACCCTTCCTCTGTCCTCTAGCAATATGCCCTAGGAGATCGCTGCTTCTTTTATGCCAAGAGTGGCAAAATGGTGGCCTTAAATATGTTTATCCCATGTATTATTTTTTAAAGTTTTAAATTGGGAAATAACAAGTTAAAAAAAATCTCAACTTCTTCTTTTTTTTTTAATGGGCTGATCTGAGAACAGTGGGCCCTTTACTGCAGCATGGTGATGATTGGCTTCGAGCGCAGCAGGTACTCAGCAGGCAGCCATGGTGTCCCTTGGCCAGCCATGTCTGGTTATGTCACCCACTTGTGGGACATGTGTTGATGTGTGTTTAGCACATCAGGACTCATTCTACATAGCAAATGAGTAAGGGAAATAACTGTTTTCAATGTTTACTGTTGATATAAGAAACTTAAGCTCCAAGAAGCCAAGAGACCTTCTCTATTTGTCTTGGTGTATCCCCAGTATTTCATAAATTTATTGAATTGAAAGATTAAGAAGATGAATGTGGCTGTGGTATGCAGGGTGCTTAAAGAAAGATGCTGAATGTTGGGAGAGGGTTATAGCCTTAAGCAGGACTGAGAACAGACTCAGACAGGGGCAGAGGGAATTGAGTAAGGGGGACCTTGAGAGACAATATGAATACAAGTCCATTGGATTGAGAGACTGACGGATGGGAAAGAAAGAAATGAAAGATGAGTTTGGAGCCCTAACAAGTAGGGGTGCCATCAATACAGTTAGGAAGTTGGTATGTCTTTGGACCTAAAGAACCTGAGGATTATTTCTATTGATTCGATAGGAGCTGTACTCAGAATTTTCCCTTTACATTTTTAATCCCAGAGCTAAGACCATCAAGAATACAGTCTCTGTGAACCTGGAACTGACAGCAGAAGAATGGAAGAAGAAATATGAAAAAGAGAAAGAGAAAAACAAGACTTTGAAGAATGTTATCCAGCATCTGGAGATGGAGCTGAACAGGTGGAGGAGCGGTAAGGACAATGAGCAGTGCTGTCTTCGTCTTTGTGGTGCTTTCCTGTGACTGCTGGCATCCTTGGAGACGCTTGAGATCATGGTTGAGCTCGGTCCAGTGTCCCCCAGACTGTGTGGACGGCAGATGTTTTCTTTTTCTTGGCGTGATGGCGCATCCCCACCCCGTTACTTGGCTGGCACATGTTGGGGTAGGCAAGTGGCTATTTGCAAGGTTGCCCTAATCCATTTCGAGTGAGTTGCTCTTTATCTATTACTGCCCTTCACTGTCTTGTTGCCCTATTTGAGGTTTGGAGGGCAGTGCTTGAGACTTTGTGGCTTTGATTGCTTTTACCTACAGGAGAATGTCATTCTCTCTGATGGGTTTTATTATTGATTGGGGTTAAAAGTCACCTCTGGCAAATACTTGGTCTTTTTTAAAAAACCTAATTCATAGTCATGCTCTGCTTCTTCAGAGACAGAAATAGAGGGCTCCTAAAGAAGCCATGTGCTAAAATGGAGTCTTTCAGGCTGGTTTCGTGACTACTCCCCCCCGCCCAACATTCTCTTTGGTTTATTCTACTGGAAGAAAATATCTCAGAGCTGACGTGCAGTGGGTGGGTGGGTTGTGGGTGAGACGCTTGAGGGGTTTCCAGATTCAAGTGTAGACAGATTATTTTAGTGATTTTAGCATTGTGATGGAGGTTAGAAGATAGAAGCCTTTTCTTCCCAACCTGAAATAAGGCAGGGTGGCATGTGTATGCAGGGGGATGGTGGATAGCTGGAAATTGTCCCTCACATCTTCTATGTGAATAATGTACATCTATAGTGCTGCTGCAGACCTCAGCCCTGGTCAGCATAGAAGCTCAGGGGGCTGCAGGTAACTCCACCTGTTTATAGCTGCAGAGTGAGCAGCATACCTTGTAATTATATATTTGCCTCTGCCTTTTGCTAGTAAGGGTGGGTGTCAATGAGCTACTATTTAATTGAAGAACAATTACGTGGCAAATGAGAATTCAGAGAGGATCAGAAAATGACCTAGTAGCCTAAATAACAGGATTCTTGTCTTTTCAGAAGAATTTCTAGCCACACATGTGTTTCAAAAGCTGCAAGAATAATTGAATAATTCAGCACCTGGGGTTGGTGGATGATTCCTGGCAATTTGGCAGGAGTAGGAGGGTGAGAGGGTGGAAGGCAAGATGGGGGTGGCTGTGTGAAGTTTTATTCTATTTCTGGAATAGTCTTGGGTCAGTTCTCTGTTGGGTGACTTGGATATTCAGTAAGGCCTTTTGGTACAGGGTTGGGGGACAGGCCTTAAATGCATTATTCCCTGGGTAATTAGCCCTGTTACTTCCCATCCTTTCCCATGTCCTGCCAACAACCCAGTTTTCCTTCTTGCATCAGTGTAGCCCTTTGGGGTCGGCCCCCTGCCTCATTTGTCTGGTGCACTGTGTGCCAAGATCTTTTGGGGCATCTATCGTGTTCTTGGCCTTTTTGTTTGGCATTGTTTTAACTAATTGTCCCGCTTCACCTATCTTGAAAATCTACTCAAAAATTTACTGTTTTCTATACCATTGGGTGAGATTCTGTGTAGGCCCTTAAGTTACATAAATAGGGAGAAGCAAGGCATGGTTTCTGCCACATAGTAGAGCTGTAATAAACGTATGTTAAATAAATATGTACTTAATGTGGGTGCTGGAGATTAAAGGGTAAGCAGTTGGAGATGACCTCTGCTCTGAGCAGGGAGATAACTCCAGTCACCATTGGCAAGTGTGTGGCGATAGTAAGTGTTGCATACCAAGAAAGGGAAGCATATGGTGCCAAGAGTGACTACAGCTGGGGCCTTGACCTCCAGCAAGAAGCCCGTGAAGACTTATGGATGAGCAACACAGACAACCGAGCTGAGAGTAACAGCTCTTAGCTGAGTGATTAGGAGATGTGGGATGAGGGTGGGATGCACTTGAGAGAATCCCATTAATTTACCGGCTCTGAGGGTGAAAGAACAGTATGAGTGTCTGGGCCTGAGGGGGGCTTGAAGTAGATATGGGTGATCCTGGAAAGGCTATCCACAGTCCTCACCCAGGATTTTGGTCATTATCTTGGAAGCAGTGAGGAGCCATTCCGCGGTAGTGAGCTGAAGAATGTACAGGATTTGTATTTCTGAAAATCCATTGGTTGTGCCGGGGAATGGACCGGATTGAGCAGAGAAGGAAGTAAGGTGGTTGCCCAACAGTGAGACAATGGCAGTTGAATTGAGAGACATGGCAGTAGAAGCAGGGGAGGTGAATGGGCCTAACAGATATTTGGCAAGAGAAATGAGCAGGATGTGGTGAAGAATTGGTCACGGGGAGAGGGAGGTGTCAAGGACAGCTCCATGGTTTCATCTTGATCAAGCTGGAGGAAGGGCAGACCCATCCCCTGAGACCTGAAACATGGGAGAAGAGCGAGACTGGTCATGAGGAAGACAAGAAAAAGAAGGCAAGGAGTGGTGTCTGGGTAAATGTGAGAAAAGGGAGTTGGGTCCGAGGTCTTGTTGCCTGAGCTGGAGAGAGGCATTTGAGCGTTGTCAATCTTGAATAATGACTGATGATGTAGGCAGGGGAGAGGCCCCATGTGGACCATGTGGAGGGTGTATTGGGAAGAAGAGAGTAGGGAGAGAGTTTTGAGGGAGCCCCATCACTACCATTACTACTGAGTAAAACGGGACTAGCGTAGGGGAGGGATTCTGCAGAACTCTCCTTCCTTCAAAGTTAACACTTGTATTTTAAAGGTGATTTTTCTCGGGACAAAGTTCTTAAATGTAGAGAACCTCTGGTGATACAAATGTCAGATTGGAAGGAGGGTGATAAAAGGCAGTAAAGATACATGGAGTGGCCCTTGACCATCTCTGAGTGCAGAGTTATCTCAAGGGTTAGCTGCATAGCACTTGATGGGCACTGAGTATCACACGTACGATAAACCAAGCCTGGGTTTCTATTATGTTCCCAGGCTGGGTGTTTAATCCTTTAAGGTGCCAAGAGGTTAGACACCTCCCTCTAGGGGATCTGTCTCTGGTGGAGGTGGGCTCTGTTCTGAGGGGGCCTCACTCCAGAGTTCCTTCTCTTTTGTTGTAGGTATTGTCTGTATATGGAGCTTAGCACTAGTGATGTGTGTGGGCCAGTGAGAGGAGTATGAAAAGTTCTGCTCCAAAGAACGAGGGGATGGAAGCCCTTCAAAGATGTCCCATGTGTCAGTCCTGATGCCTCACAGCTGAAGTCCTGAGGGGCTGGTTAGTGCTATAAACTAGACAGCAGGATACTGGGGGAGGGAACAGCGAAGAGACCATGCCCTCTACTCAAATGAGAGTAGCAGGATATTGCCAGCTTTCTCTTGAAATTTGACTCACACACATTAGCCTGTCGGCTGTGGCTACTTAATTTACTTCAGCATTTCCTGAGTATTGATGTTGCCATGTTGGGACCTGAATGAGTGATGGAGAAGCCTTGTTAATTGTGTACACTCTCCCAGGGAAAGAGATTTCTTTCCTTATATGGTGGGTTTATAATTTAAAAGTGTCACTGCTATCCTCCAGCTGTGAGAGAGCAAGGAAGGGGTGCAACAGAGAAGTTGTGTGTGTGTGTCCATGTGAGTACATATGCATGCTTGCGTTTTTTCCTACTTGCTGTCATAGAGAATGAGGTAGGGGAGAAACAAGTCAGTTGCAATGAGGAAGGGAGCCATGTCTTGACCCATGGCTGGATTGGGCCATGGGAGGGGCCTGCCTGGTCCAATGTTATTTAAAAGTTGTAAAACACTATCCTGTGTATTATATGCCTACATACCTCCCCCCGATCCCTGTCTGTACCAATCCCTTGTAGCTTGATGGATGCTGTGGATTGAATGTTGAAATTCATATGTTGAAATCCTGCAACTCAAGGTGATGGCGTTAGAGTTGGGGCCTTTGGGAGATGATTAGTTTCTGAGGATCACTTCCCTTACATGAGTCCCAAGGAACCTTGCTTTTCTCTGCTCTCTGCTATGTGAGGACAGAATGAGAAGACACCATCAGTACAACCAGAAGAGGCTGCTCCCCAGAACCTGACTGCTAGCACTGTGATTTGGGACTTTTGGCCTCTCAAAATGGAGCCAATAAATATCTGATGCTTACAAGCCTGCTCAGTTTATGGTACCTAATTATAACAGCCCCATTGTGAGGCCAGTGGGCTTCGTCTGCATTCACTATAGTCAGTCTTTTCCATGGGGCACAGTTGAGCTTTGATTCTTATAGCAGGGCTGCATATTCTGCACCAACCCTTATTTCATTTCTGACATTGCTCTTAAGACAGGATAGCTCTGGGCATGTGCATGGTGGCTCAAGGAGAACCACACCTTGTTTTAATAAAGGAGGCAGGAAGAGAGCCACTGGCCTGGTTCAACCCCCCAGTGTGCCAGTTATAGTCTTTGTGTTGCGATAGAAATTGACCTTGTCCAGGTTTTAAAGAAAGAGAATTCAAAGTGATTCACAGAGTCAAAAAACAAAACCAAACCAAAACAAGAACACAATAACAAAACACAAACAGCTGAGGAACCAGGCTTGGACAGCCAGAAACTGGAGCTGATACAGGCAACAGAAAATTGACAGGTCTCAGAGGGTCATACCTGGAATGTGTCCTCTTGAGATTTTTTTTTCCTATCCTTACATCCTAACGTTGGAGAGCAGAGGCCCAGCATAGAAGCAGGAATACTGTGGTTGGTGGTTTGTCGGCTAGGGAAGGACAGGGGACATTGAGAAACTGTCAGATTAAGACTACATGCAACTGAAGGGGTAATTTCACGAAAAGAGGTTGAGGTGCTACTATGAGAATGAGTGTTGGGTGGCTGAAAAGTAACAAATGCCCCCCACACTCTAGCAGTGACATCTTGTGGGCCAGAGTGAAGGACCATCTTTCATCAAATCAGGAGGATCCACGGGCACTTGAGTATCACCATAGTGTTCACCAGCTTGCGTAAGAAACAGTCCATAAATGGAGTGGGGCCGTTGCCA